AAAATCACTGTTAAAGTCTGAACAAAAGTACCTTACCAAAAGTGAAGAAAGTGCAATGTCAATTATTCATGGAAATGATTCAAACCTTATCGAGAAATCTATAGAAATTACCAAGTCAACTGAAACCAGATTAGTTGATGCGTCATTAACTTATGATTACTTTCCTAAAGGTGAAAAAGATATTTGGGGAGAACAAGTCGATTATAGGCCTACAAACTCTTGGAATGAGAAGCTTTCTGATGTATCCGTCACTGAAATTGTAGAATCTCAAATGATTAATACCGTTTCTCCAACCATTCTAGCTTCAGAGTTGTTTGAAATTATGAAACCATCATATGATGACAGCCAAGATTTAGAAGAAAATGACATCCATCATTCAGTTCGTTTTGGGCATAGTTTTATAATCAATGTCACTTCTCATGAGGGACAATTTGAGACGAGTGGGAAATCTGATAGTCATATTCAAACCAATACTAGTAAGGCAAGTCTAAATATGCTAACGAGGAGTTGCAGCGAATATTATGCTAGAAATGGAATTTTGGTGAATAGTGTAGATACTGGTTGGGTATCCTCTGCTTTACCTGCATATAGAGCTCCTCCTCTTACTGATCTTGATGCTGCCTTCAGAGTTCTGCACCCTATCCTTTCTGGAAGTTTCAAGTATGGAAAATTATACAAGAATTACAAAGAGGTTGATTGGTAGAAAATTTCTTTTAAAACGTGATGCAATAATTTCGTACCATGGACAGCACCTAATGTGTTCCGATCGTAATCAATCACTAACATTGTTAAACCAGAGAATTCACCCAACAATTTCCATTCAAATTCAACATTCAAAAATCCTTCAAAGCTTGAATAAGCTCCAAAACTAACCAAGGTTGGTGAATGCGGCAATAAATTGTCTTTATCCATAAATGCTATCTTTGATCCAATCCTTTCCAATCCATAATGTACACGATCGAGAGTTCCGAATAATCGCTCATCATTTTCTTTTTTGTTGAAAATCTAATAAGCTACTTACTTTTTATGGTATTTTCACATATTGGATCCTTGTACATGTTCCTTATCTCCTATTAAGGCGTCAGTCATTAATGAAGCATTTCTTGTGATATTTATTCGATTCACTTTCTATGAACGATATTTGGTCCAGTTTCATCATACTCCTCTTTCCTGATGCACATTTTATTATAAGTTGACAATGAAGCAAAAATACTACCACCAACCCAAGCCTGGTACTTTCGATCGGGTAATGCTATTATTCGATTCTTCATTGAGGGAGATATTTCTTGAAGTTCATTGCTCAATCTTTCAGCAATTCCATTAAATAATGTCGATCCTCCCGAAAGCACAATGTTTGAATACATTTCCTTTCTAATATCAACATCACACTTTCTAATGGAGGTAGCAATATGCTCGTGAATTCCACCAACCTCCATTCCAATAAGATTTGGGTGAAAGAATACTTCTGTTGTTCTGAATTTTTCAGAACCAATCGTTATTATATTTCCATCTGGTAACTCATATTCTGTTTCCAATAAAGAACCTTTCTTACTTTCTTCCTCAAAATTAGTTGTTACATAACAAAGTTTTTCTTTCATTTCTTTTACACTTGCAATT